ACCAGGGTTTTTGGTCTCACACCAGTTTAAATAAAATGGCACAGACACACATGGAGTGGTTTCAAGGAGCAAAAGTTTAGTAGGCAAGAAAGAAGGAAGAAAGAAAACAGCTCCCCAAACAGAGAGAGAGGCAGGGGAGCTTGGAACAAAGAGGAACCCCGTGTTGGGTGGAAAAGGAGTTGCTTAGATTGGGATGCTGGAGAAGGCAGTGTCTGGTTTGCATAGGACCCAGGGGATTGGTTTGACGAGGTGTGTCATTTACGTAGCCCACAAAAATCCTGTCCCTCTCACCTTAGCCCTTTAATATGCAAATGTGGGTCACCCTGATGTTTTGAACACATGGTGTTATCTGGAAGTGGCCATCACACTTGACACAGGTGGTGACAAAGAGAAGATGGTGGGAATCACCATATTGAGTGAACCCAGGTTTTAATGACTGGCATTTGCACATTAGAGCTTGCTGGCCAGGCCATTGAAGCTGTCTTTTCTGTTAGAAAAAAGGTGGTTCAGGGATTGTTTCTTATTACTGGAAAATTACCCTTACTATCTGCCTAGAATAATTTCTTAGTAACTCCGGTATTACCAGGAGGCCACTGGGGGAACAACAAGTTGGGGTAAACGCCCTGTGAGGCATAGCACCTGTAGGTCCCCGCATGGGCTGAGGTCACAGGACTCACGGAGAATTCAGCCTTTACCGCTGAGTGTGGTACTTTGATATTAGATACGAGGCTGGGGTCTTGCCAGCTGCATCCTCCTCAGATGGAAGGAAAGTGTCCATCCACCTACCTTTACATCTGACACAGCAGGGTCACGTTCTTCCCTGAGGCCACCGTGGGGCCTGGTTGCACCGAGAGGGAATGTCTGTCGTGGATCTGTTCTAGAGATAAGAAGGATGGGTGAGGAGCCGCACCACCTTGTTCTGAGCTGAGACCTCCTCAGGCCTCTCTCTGGGACCCTCAGTCTCTCTGTCTCTGTTTTCTCTGAGTTCCCCTCTCCCTGCCCAATCCCTCCTCTCTGTCTCTGCCTCTCCTTCCCTTGAGACCCCCACCCCTCATCCTGGCCATCACCACCTGGGCTCCCCCGGCAGGGCCTGTACAGAGCCTGGGTCCCTGATTGAACCCGCTGGGCTTCTCACCTGTGATCAGGATGTCCAGGGGGTCACTAGGGGCAGACCTCCTAGAGGAGAGGTTGGGTCCACTGAGCATCTGTACTGGTCCCCATGGGAGATGCTCACAGGGCCCAAGGGGAAGTCATCCTGGGAGAACTTCTGGCCAGAACTCTGGGGAAGGTGAAGTATCTTTTTCTTGGACAGAGAGAATATTTTGTAGCCAACATCAGAGCAACACAAGAGGGTCAAGCTCTCTTCATGGGCCATGACAGGGCCCTGTGGTCAAATGGGAGGGCTCCCTAGGCACACCTGGAGTGTGCAAGGAGCCGTGAGTCAGAGGGCTGGTTCCTTCCAAGCCTCTTCTTTCACCAGGTCGCCTCCAGGTATGGTCAGAATCCAGTGGGCTCCTGGAGCTTTTGGTCTCAGGTGATAAAGTCTGCTAAACCAGACTGGTAAACCTCCACCTGTGGCTAGAAATCATGGGGTCCACCAGGATCAGGGCTTGAAACTGTCCATTGGACTGTGTTTTGGGGTCCAGGAGACAGAATAGATTGTGTTCACCTTCCACAGTCAGAATGGACCTGTCAAATCCCAGCCGTGAAGGACATAATGGGGTCACCTTATCTCCCGAGGTCAGGACAGGGCTAGGCTGAGCTGAGAGGGTAGGTTTGCTCTAGAATCCTAGAAGAGAAGGAAGCACCGTGTTAAATGGGACTCACACCTCCCACATCATCCCCCAGGGCTGGGCTGTGAGAGGGAGACGCCCCTGAGAGCCGACCCCCTTCCTGAGGGCAGAGCCTGGGGCTGGGACCCCTGAGTGTCCTCTCACCTGTCACCACCAGCTCCAGGGGGTCACTAGGTTCTTACAAGCCTGAAGGGCTGAGAAAGTGACGGCAATATCACTGTGTGTGGTGCAGAAATGCAGGGAAATAGGGGAAGAAAGCAGATCTCCTCCACTGACCTTGGGTTGTGAGTGTTCTTTCTACTAAACAATTCTCTGCTTGGGCTTCCCTTGTTTTATTACTGTTCTCTAACAGTCTCCTCCACATCTCCCTAGAAATGGCCCTTGTTTCATTTCTGTCTCCTCAGTGCCCCTTGTCTACTTCTCAAAACCTTCCTCCTCCTCTTTCCATGGTCCTGCCCTCAAGCCTTAGGGACAGTGGGTGGGTTAGCACTCCAACTTTGAAAGGAAGGCTAATCTTTATTTAAATGATCATCTGTCATCCATTGCCTGGGGGCCAGGACTTAGCAGTGAATACACCTGGTGCCTTCCTCAGTTGGACCCTTTCCAATGAGGCTGACTGAGGGCTGAGCACACAGGTGCGTGAGAAGTCCTAGGAGTTCAGCCAGAGTGCAGTTAGAACCTGTCCTTTCTGAAGGAGGAGGACGGAAGAATCCTTGCTCAAAAGTATATGCTCTCGCCCCTTCTCTTCAGCATAGTAATAGAAGTCCTAGACACAGCAATTAGGCAATAAAAATACACAAAGCACCCAAATCAGATAGAAAGTGATATTGTCTCTGTTTGCTGCCATGATTTTATATATAAAAATCCCTAAAGATTCAACCAAACAACTTTTAGAACTGATCCATGAATTTAGTAGAGCAGGATACAAAATCAACATGCAAAACTCGGTAGCATCTCTGTACACTAAAAACAAACTATCCAGAAAGAAATCAAAAGAAAAATTACACTTATAATAGCTAAAAAATTACTTAGAATTAAATTTAACCAAGAAGGTTGAATATCTCTGTACTAAAATCTTTACAACATTGATGAATGAAATTGAACAAGACCCATATAAATGGGAAGGTAGCTTATGTTCATGGTCTGCAAGAATTAACACTGTTAAAATGTTCATATTACAATAAGAACACATGGACACAGGGAGGGGAACAACACACACTGGGGCCTGTAGGGGGAGGGCAGAGGATGAAGGGAGGGAGAGCATTAGGAAAAAGAGTTATGCATGTCAGGCTTAATACCTAGGTAATGGGTTGATAGGTGCAGCAAACCACCATGGCACATGCCTACCTATGTAATAAACCTGCCTGTCCTATACATGTGCCCTGGGACTTAAAAAAAGTTTATACCTGCAGACTCAATACAATTCCTATCAAAATTCCAAGGTCATTTTCCACAGACATAGAAAAACAATCCCAAAATTTGAACGGGACTACAAAAGGACCCCAAATAGCCAAAACAATCTTGAGCAAAGGGAAAAAGGGTGTATCACACTTTGGAATCCCCAAATATCCTACAAAGCCACAGCAAGGAAGACAGCATGGAACTGACATAGAAACAGGTACAGTGATCAGTGCAACAAGGATGAAAGCAAAGAATGAAACACACACATTTATGGTGAATTGATGCTCAACAAAGTTTCCAAGAACAAGAGAGCGCAGTCCTTCTGAATAAACGGTCCTGGGAGAACTTAGTCTCCATGGAGTGTGGAGGTCTGGGTCCTCCCTGGGCTAGTGGATGGCCACAGCAGCGTATACGCTCAGCTCAGCTGAACTTTCCCTTTCCTGGGAGGAAGGAGGCTTCATTATTTCCTGTTTGAGGATTAAGTTGTGCAGCTGGGCATAGGTCACATCCTGGGGATATTCATATGAAGAAGAATGAAATTGAACCATTATCCCATGTACAAAAATGGGTGAGAGAAAAGCTTCAAGACGTTGGTCTAGGCAAAGTTTTTTGGATATGGCCCTGAAAACACAAGCAACAAAAGCAAAAGTAGACAAAGGGTGTGTGCCTCCTAACTAAACAGCTTCTGCACAGCAAACAACAGAATGAAGAGACAACTCAGAAATGGGAGAAAATAGTTGCAAGCTGTATCTCTGATAAAGGGTTAATATTTAAAAATATATAAGGAACTAAAACAACGCAACAGCAAGAAACCAAAAACTACTTGAAACACGGGCAAAGGAGCTGAACAGGCATTTCTCAAAAGAAGACATACAAATGGTCAGCAGGTATATGAAAAGGTGCTCAGACAAAAGCTTTGTCTGTTGAGATAATAACTTTTTGTTCATTTTGTTAAAATACTGAATTACATTGATTGAGTTTTTGAAAATTAAGCTACCCTTGCTTTTCATAAACAAAATTAAAAAATAATAAAAAACCAGTGTGGTCATGATATATTGTCTATTTTATAGAGACATGAATCTTGTTAGTATTTGTTAAGGGATTTATATTTTGGTGAGATATCATCCATGACTTTAACATTTTGTAGTTTCCTTGTCAGGTTTGGGTATCAACTTGTTCCTAGTCTGATAAAATGTATTTGTGTAAATATACACAAAATATTCTCAGGGAAAATTTATGCAAGTCTCTGTGTGTGTGTGTGTGTGTGTGTGTGTCTGTGTGTTTCATGAGTGCATAAGAGTTTGAGAAAACCACCAACAAATCTTCCTGAAGTGGCATTTACTTTGCGGGAACATTTTTTATTACAGGATCGATGCATTTTATATATGTTTATGTACGATGATTCAGTTTTTCTATTTATCCTTATGTTCATTAAGTAAACTGTAATTTTGAATATTTCATCTATCTCATCTGCATTTTCTGTTATGTCGGCATAGAATTGATCAGTTTTCTTTCACCTTTGTAAAGCTGTGTGTAGGGTCTGTAGTGCTGCCTCCTGTTTTGTTCCTGTATGGAAAAGGGTGCCTGCTCTTTTTTTATTCTTATTTTTCTCATTGTGGCCAAGTTCCATGTATCATTAATGTTTTCAAGAATAAACTTTTGACTTTATTAATTTTTCCTTAGTTTTTGTTTGTCCTCATTAGAAGCTCCCATTTTCCCATGTCATTGGTTTGATGTGTAATATTTACATGAGCATTCAATTTAAAACATTTTCTGACTTCTGTTTTTTTTTTTGTTTTTTTTTTGTTTTTTTTTTTAAATCAGTTAACTCATTGGGAACTGAGAAGTCTGCTACTTTATTTTGATAATGCAGGGATACTATTTATCTTTGCAGAATCAGGTGAAGCCCAAAGTTCCCAGAATCTTCTAGTGGTCTCTGTTAGGGGTCTAGGCTGGCTGGGGTTCAATGATGTCCACTGGGGGCAACTTCCATGACTTCTGGGGTCCTGAGTCTCCGTGGTTTGTGGGGTCTGCGTCCTCCCTGGATTAGTGGATGGCCAGAGTGGCATAGACACTGGGCTCAGCTGAAGGTTCCCGTTTCTGGGTTGGAGGAGGCTCAGTTGCCTCCCGTCTGAGGGTCAAGCTCTGTAGCTGGGCGTAGGTCACATCCTGGGGGGCTTCAGATGTAGCAGCCTGCAGTGGGGGAGAGTGAGAGGGAAGGAACATGATGGGGGTAGGGGAAGGCTGGGGGCCTGGAGAGGAAAGGACCAGCCTGAGTGTCCGTCTGCCTGTCCTCTTCCGCCTGTGTGTCCTTTGTGTCCAGGAATTCCTCGGACAGTGGGGAGGGAGGAGAGGTCATTTCTCTCCTAGGTCCGGAGTGTTTCACCTGGGCATGTGTCACTGCCTGGGGGTCTTCATCGTGTGGGCTCTGCTGGAGAAAGACATTGGTGGGGGGTGTCCTTGAATCCCCCTGACCCCCTGGAGTCAATTTTCCTCACTGTTTCCAGGGTGATCCGATTACATCCCTTTCCTGATGGAATCTCAGGGATGCCCTAAGGCTGTGGAGAGTCTGGCCGCTCCCTCCCTGTGGTTCTGGCCTCTCCTTCTCACTCTGACCTTGCCCATTTGGCTGCAGTCTAATGCCCGCCTTCCTGCAAGAGCTCGCTGCTGCCTCGGGGCCTTTGCACGGCTGTTTCTTCTGCCTGCAGGGGCTTGTCCATTAGAGGATCCTGTGGCCCCCTCCGTCCAGGCTTCTCAGATGACAGCTGAGCAGACAGCCTTCCCCTTACCATTCAGACTGGCCCCACTGCCCCACACTCTGCCCTTTCCCTGGTTTATGTTTCTTACAGCACGTTGCACTTCTGCACATGGTGCATTTATTTGCATTTTGTCTCCCACCACGAGGTGAGCTCTGGAGGCGGGGGCGGCTCTGCTCCCTGCTGTGTCTGCAGCTCCCACTGGGAGCCTGATCCACAGTGAGCTCCCTGGGAACACTGGCTGGATGAATGAATGGAGGGAGCCCAGGGGACCGGGGTGGTTCATCTATTCCTCATCCTCCTGAGGCCTGGGGAGCGCTGTAACCACCAGACGGCCAAACAGAGGAGGAGGAGCGGGAAGGGGACCCGGGAGGAGGCCCGCGAGGTCCCAGAACAGCAGGAGAGAGTGAGGTCACAGCAGGCGGGAGGCAGCGTGCTGGACAAGGAGGGGTCCACCGTGACGATGCTGAGAACCGGGGGAAGGAGGACAGAGAAGTCCTGCAGGATTAGATCCGGCACCAGGAGGCCTTTGGTGCCCGGGACAGGGGTGGGGTCTCACCCGACTGTCCAGCTCCACCCCATCCCCAGGCTGTGTGTCCTTCATGGCAGCATCTGCTGGGGCAGAGCAAGGGATTTGTCTCATGGGAAGGTTCCCTGAGACCTCTGAGTCCTGCCGGACCCTGCCCTGTTCCCATTAGGGCCACTGTGATGCAGGGAGGGGCTGTGATGTCCCCGAGGTCCCACAGTGTGGGTTCAGACCACCTCCCCCCGAGTCCCTGACCCTTACCAGCCTGTACTCCTGCCCCCATTGCTACTGAAACTTTGGGGCCCGCATCTCCACCCCGGGTGCACCCCCTCTGCCTCTCACTTACTGGGGTTTTCTCCCTGGACGTCAGCAGCTGGGCTGGACCTGGGGGAGGATACGGGAGTGTGAGGGGCAGTGAGGTGGCTGTTGGGGTGGGTGGGAGTCTGGGGTCTTCAGGCAGAATTACCTCCTCTGTAGACCCCCACCCTTGGGCTCTGGCTCTGCAGCCCCTGGAGGACGTTGGAAATCAGCCTGTCCCTGGGCTGGGGAAAGGTGGACAGAGTCTCAGCTCTCGGAATGTTAGAACCACCTGCCTTGCACATGCAACTCAAGAGGAAGACAAACCCGAAAATACACTTGCAAGGATGTTTTAAATCCTTCCTAAGTGTAGAAAAACCGCAAGAATAAAGCACTTCCATTATGCCCTTCTTTATTTTCTTCTTTCTAGATTTTCTCACTGGGAATTTCTGGAGCAGTTCCTAAGCTGATCTCTCCTATCTGGACTCTCTTTGGCTAGCGCCCTGAGCCCACCCTGCATCGGCCCACAGGTCCCCCAATTTCCTTCTTACCTGATGTCCTGTGTTTGCCCTGACGCCAGTGTTGGAGGAGGAGAAAGAAGAGGAGGGAGAGAAGCAGGATGGAGACTACCAAGACCCCGATCAGTACCTCCCAGTGCCTTCTCAGACCTTGGGCGTGATGACATCAGGAATGGGGATGATGTCACTGATGTGAGCACCTACTGTGCGCACACCTACTGTGTGTGCTGGGTCTTTCTTTCATTACCTCCAACCCTCACAGCAGTCGTGCAACTTGAGATTGCCACCCTCTCTCCACCCATTTCACAAAGGAGGAAACTGAGGCTCAGAGAGGGGAATCGCCTGCCCCGGGTCCCCAGCCAGGAAGCAGCAGAGTTAAAAAGTGAACCCGGGACTCTGATCTGCAGCCCTTATTCCCTGCACCAGAGCCAAGCCCCAGAGTTGCAGGGAAAGAGCCTGACCATCTTGAACCACAGCCCTGCTCCCCTCCCCTGCCCCAGGTCACTGTCACCGCCGCAGGTGGGACAGGACAAGCCCATGTGGAATCGACTCTGGGAGGCTTCCCTGGGAGGCCTCCTCTCCCAGGAGGTCACAGCTGGGAGTCAGAGCTGAAAGGAATGTTCCCACCTGCAGGCTTCTTTTCCTTTACACCTGGAGAAACTGAGGCCCAGGCAGGGGAGGGGCCTGTCCACGTCACCATCTTCAGAGGAGGCTGAACCTAGGACAGAACCCACCCCTGCCCCCCAGGGACTCCATTCACCTCCCACTCAGAGCCCCTCACTCACCACTCTGGGGGTCTGACCCTGTAGGCATGAGGGGCTGGTCCTCAGGGCCTGCTGGGTTAGAACAGGGACGTGAGGGCTGGGGCTGCCCTGCCCCCCGACCTCAGCTCGGCTTCTCCTCCCAACATCTCCCTCTGCCTTGACCCCTCACCCCGCATTAGCCCAGCCTCAGGGCCTTGGGAGGCTTCAGTGCCTCCCAAGTCACTGCCCGACTCCCACATCCCTGGAAGCAAGCCCAGCTGAGAACTGGAACGAGGACTTAGATCCACTGAGTGTGTCTTGAGACAGGTCTCGGGCTTTGGAAACTCTCTGGACAGAGGCCTCTAAGACTCACCAGCTGCTGAGATGGACCTTGTGGCTGAGGGGCTGGGACTCTCCAAGGATCCTGGGTAGAAGGACAAGGGGAGGGTGAGAGTCTGGGGTTGCCCCCGAGTCTCCACCTCAAATTGAACCTCTTCCTACATCTGCCCTGTGGCTTCCCAGGGACCTTGTCTCTCCCCTCCTGGCACCTTCTGGACCCCACAGGTAAGGGAGAAGAGCATGGGCATGCCTGGGAAGACCCCGTTGTCCTCCTCCCCTCTGAGGGCTGAGTCTCCCCTTGGCTGAGCCCCCCTTCCTCCGTCCCTGCCCAGAGCTCTCCTGGGGGCAGGGCCTGAGCTGAGCCATTGAGCTCAGAGGGGACACGGTCAGGAGCCTCACCTAAGACAGTGAGCTCCACGGGGTCACTGGGGCGTGACAGCAGGTAGTGTGAGAAGCTGTGTGAGCTGATGCACCTGTAGGTCCCCCCATGCACTGAGGTCACAGGACCCATGGGGAATTCAGCCCGGTGCAGCTGAGCTCCGTGCTGTGATCTCAGACGCGGCAGGGGATGGGCTGCCCCCTCCTTAAACAGAAGGAAAGTGTCCATCGGGCTCCGTGACTGACACAGCAGGGTCACGCTCTCTCCTGAGGTCACAAGAGGACTCGGCAGGACTGAGAGGATGGGTTTGCTGTAGGCTCCTAGGAGAGGAGGCACCATGTTAAATGGGACTCCCACCTCCCGCATCATCCCCAGGGCTGGGCTGTAAGAGAGAGACGCCCCTGAGAGCTGACCCCTTTCCTGAGGACAGAGCCTGGGGCTGGGACCCCTGAGTGTCCTCTCACCTGTCATCACCAGGTCCAGGGGGTCGCTGTCCTCTGACCAGTCTGGATGGCTGTGATAGTAACAGCGGTATCTCCCTGCGTAGTGCTGTGTCATGGATGGGATGGAGAACTTGGCCTTGTTCCTGGGCTCCAGTGGGTTCTGTATGTCCCAGGGTGCTGAGCTTCCTTCTTTATCCAGACGGTACTCCTGAGCGTCCAGGGTTCCCTGACACCAGATGGTCACGGGGCTCCCCCAGCTGATCACAGAGCCAGGCTCAGCCCAGACGGTGGGTTTGGGGAGGGGCCCTGGAAGGAAATCAGAGGCTGCATCCCAAGAGGTCCCTCAACCCTCAGATCCCAGCTCTCAGTCCCAGGACCCTTCAGATGTCGCCATCAGTCACCCAGAACTGCTGTCTCCTCTCCCAGCTGCCCATGGGTGGCCCTTTGTCCCCAGGGAGGAGGAGGGACCTGGGACAGCTGGGGACAGACTCACCTGCCTGCACACAGGTCCTGGGGCCCAGACTCAGCCCTGGAAGAGAATTCCCTGTGAGAGATTTGCCCCTGAAGCCTGAGCAGGTCCTCTCTTTACCCTGTGATTTTTGAGTCTCCTAAAGAACCAGGGCCTGGCTGTGAGGCAAAGTTCTTCCAAGACTTGGGTATCCCCTCCCCCTTTTTAAATCTCACCTAAGCAGAACAGGACCATGAGGGTGGGGGTCATGGCGTCTCCTCCCAGTGGCCCCAGCTGTGCAGATGGATGAGTCCTCAGTGCCGGCAGGACAGAGAGACACATGGTGTGTGGCCGCTCGGAGGCTGGGTCCTTCTAGTCATGGGGTTGTTCCATCAGCCGCCTGCAGGAAGGGAAACTGCCCTCATTTGAACCCCAGCCTGACTTTCATTTCCCCAGGGCTAGGGCTGGGGCAGGCACCAGGTTCTCTGCAGACATTTCAGACAGAAATGGGGTCTCTCTGATCCCAGCCTGCTGTCTCCCTCATCTTAATTCCTCTCTTGCCCAAACATCAACCCATATGTATTGTGTATTTGCAATAAGCCTGATGCTGGGGGTACATCACTGAACAAGTGAAACAAACAAACAAACAAAAACTTGTGTGTTCAGAGCACAGGTGAACCATAAACCTTCCTATTGCTGCCATAACAAATCACCACAAACTTAGTGGCTTAACATAATGTAGGTTTCTTGACTTACCATTCCAGAGGTCACAAGTCCAAAGTGGGTCTCCTTGGGCTGAAACACAGTTGCCATCAGAGCCGTGTCTTCCTGGAGGTTCCAGGGAGGATCCGTTCCCCAGCCTGTTCAAGCTTCTGCAGGCTCCCACATTCCGGCCTCACCATTCCCTCCATCCTCAAAGCCACCAGTCCCGTTATCCGGCCCCTGCTTCCATCCATTCACCCCCTTCTCTCACTCTGACCCTGCTGCCTCCCCCGTTTCATTTACTCAGCCCCTTGCGATTACATTAGGCCCACCTGGATAATCTCCCCAACCCAAGATCCTTAACTTAATCACATCTGCAAAGTTTGTTTTGCCACATAAGCTCCCCCTATTCACAGGGTCTGAGGCTCAGGACGTGGACATCTCTGGAAGGTCACTATTCTGCCTCCCACAGGCCTTCAGGGACTCCTTTAGCCAAATCTCTCAGAAACCACTTCTCTGTGATGACGGAGAGCGGCTGGGCATGCCAGTTGAACGCTTGGTGGGCCAGTGCGCAGCCAGGTCATAGTCGGCTACTGATGTCCCACGGGGCCCTGCCTACGTGAGGCCGAACGTTCCATCTCTACCAGAGCCCAGTAGCCACCTAAAAACTGTGCCGCAAAACAAAACTCATTCTCTTCAGCGCCAGCACGATGTAGCTCCAAAATCTTTTTTTTTTTCTTTCTTTCTTTTCTGAGACGAAGTCTTGCTCTGTCACCCAGGCTAGAGTGTAGTGGTGTGATCTCAGCTCACTGCAACCTCCACCTCCCAGGCTCAAGGGATTCTCCTGCTTTAGCCTCCTGTGTAGCTGGGATTGCAGGCACCCGCCACCACTTCTGGCTAATTTTTGTGTTTTTAATAGAGATGGGGTTTCACCATGTTTGCCAGGCTGGTCTCGAACTCCTGACCTCAGTTGATCCACCCGCCTGGGCCTCCCAAAGTTGCTGGGATTATAGGCGTGAGCCGCCGCGCCCAGCCAAGCATAGATTTTAAATGTCTTCACTGCAGATAGATGTTAGTATGTGGAGTGATGGACATGTTAATTGACTTGATTCCATCATTCTGCAATGTATACATTTATAACACATTGTACTCCATAAATATATATAGTTGGTGAATTCAATATTTAGTAAAATTATTTTGAAAAGAAAAATAACCATAAATAGATAACAAGCACGCAAAAAGGCCAGATAGCTTCAACCCTCAGACCACTGCGTGGATTAGCTTCAACCCTCAGACCACTGCCTGCGTTAACTTCCACCCTCAGGCCGCTGCCTGCGTTAGCTTCCACCCTCAGGCCGCTGCCTGGGTAAAACACTGCAGGTGGTCAGCTCTCAATAATCATCCATTCGAGTGGGCATGTCCTGCAATGATCTGGAATTGTGGTCTGTCCTAGATGGTGACTAATCATTTTCTGCCTCTGATCTCCTTAAAAGGATAGAAAGGGCAGGGCGCGGTGGCTCACACCTGTCATCCCAGCACTTTGGGAGGCCAGGGCGGGCAGATCACGAGGTCAGGAGATCGAGACCATCCTGGCGAACACGCTGAAACCCCGTCTCTACTAAAAATACAAAAAACAAACAAACAAAAAAGTTAGCCAGGTGTGGTGGTGGGCACCTGTAGTCCCAGCTTCTAGGGAGACTGAGGCAGGAGAATGGCATGAACCCGGGAGGCGGAGCTTGCAGTGAGCGGAGATCGCCCCACTGCACTCCAGCCTGGGCGAAAGAGCAAGACACAGTCCCAAAAAAAAAAAAAAAAGATGAGAGGACCTTCTAATTTTAGAACTGAAACATAGGGTGGGAGGGGAAGGAGGAAGTAGAGGTTAAAACAAACCCAAAATAAATCATGTCTAATGGTCAGGAAGGCAAAGAAGGAGAGGCTTACAGGAGGCTGAAAGTCAAAGTGCCGGGAACTGCATGAATACCGCTGCATTCAGGTTTCCAAGCACCTGCGTTTAGTACCTCATTCCGTATCCTTTGGGGTCACTCTCAGAATCACGGGGCAGTATCTCTTTTCGAGGATTTCCATGTATGTCTCCACACTGGTGTGTAAGGAGCTGATGGGAAGCTATTTCAGCCAAAGCCTGATGCATCAGACAATCTCTGGGGAAAAACAAACTCCCAGAAATGGGGACTAGAAAGTCGTATACATATTGCCGAGTATCTCCTGTTTTGGAGGGAAGTTCTGGATCGTGGTCTGCAATTGTCAGAGATCCTGGTGTGGACCTGTCCTTGTTACCTGCTGCAGTGTGTCCGCGAGGCATGCTGATTTCAGAAATTCCTTTCCTTCTCTCTTTCTCTATCCTATTCCCTTAACCCTGGTACCCAAATCAGTTACCTGCGCTCATATCCTTACGTCCTGCTTTCAGAGTAACCTGTGCTAGGCAAGGACTGAGAACTATGCCAGGAAGTTTTTCGATGTCCTCACCCCTTTTCTAACCGCTCAACATGACTTGCCGTTACCAGTCCTGGACTTCTTCTTGTATTTTGCTGCTTTTTTTTTTTTTTTGAGACAGGATCACGCTCTGTCACCCAGGCTAGAGTGCAGTGGTGCAATCTCCGCTCACTGCAACCTCAGCCTCCTGGGTTCAAGCACTTCTCCTGCCTCAGCCTCCCGAGTAGCTGAGATTACAGGCAGCTGCCAGCACGCCAGGCTAATTTTTGTATTTTTAGTAGAGATGGGGCTTCACTATGTTAGCCAGGCTGGTTTTGAACTCCTGATCTCAGGTGATCTGCCCACCTTGGCCTCCCAAAGTGCTGGGATTACAGGCATGAGCCACCACGCTCAGCTAATTTTTGTATTTTTAGTAGAGATGGGGTTTCACCATATTAGCCAGGCTGGTTTTGAACTCCTGACCTCAGGTGATCTGCCCGCCTTGGCCTCCCAAATTGCTGGGATTACAGGCATCGGCCACATCACCCAGCCTCATTTTGTTTTTGTAGTCATGCACTCACCGTTCAGTAAATCTTGTCCATCCTTACTTAAGAAACATTTAAACATGTCAACCTGTGGCCATCCCAGGACACAAGAGATAAAGGCGAGCAAAGCAGATATATTGGATTCACAGTAACCCAGACTTCATTTCCAGTTACCTCCCCTTCTGGAAAATCTAGCATCCTAGCAAAAACTAAGTTGATAAAATCACTACACAAAAAGTTTAGAAATAGGACCAGTCCCGGGAAGGAAAGATTTAAAGCAATAGGACAGGATGAAAGAAATACTCACTGGGTACTGCACTCACCTCCTGGGTGAAATAGTCTCATGTAGCAAACCTGAGCATATATCCCCATATCTAAAATAAAAGTCGAAGTTCAAAAAATAAAGGAAAAAAAAGAGAAAGCAATCACATATTTTGTGGATTTGAGATGGAGGGTGGTGAGGAAGCTGAATGAGAGGTCAGATGGTGATGATGAGTTGGCATTATCTGAATGAAGGGATGCCTGGGAGTGGAAAGAGAAGCATTGCAGGTGGTCCCGGGCAAAGGTATTCGAACGGGTGGATCCTAACGCCTTACAAGAAGTAAAAAGACCACAAGAATCTTTTCATTCTTTTCAAAGTATGTTTCACTGTAGAATCAAACTTTTGTGAGATACTAAAAACGACCTAATTGGAATGAATCATAAATTTCCAACTTAATTTGGGGGCACGGGTGTTCTGTGATTCATAAGAACTCATGTTTTATTGTTTCGTTTTCTTTTTTTTTATGATTACACTTCAAGTTCTGGGATACATGTGTAGAATGTGCAGGTTTGTTACAGAGGCACACACGTGCCACGGTGGTTTGTTGCACCCATCAACCCATCATGTACATTAGGTATTTCTCCTAATGCTATCCCTCTCCTAGACCCCCAACTCCCTGACAGGCCCCAGTGTGTGATGTTCCCCTCCCTGTGTCCATTAGTTCTCATGATTCAACTCCCACATATTAGTGAGAACATGCCGTCTTTGGTTTTCTGTTCTTGTGTTAGTTTGCTGAGAATGATGGTTTCCAGCTTCATCCATGTCCCTGCAAAGGACATGAACTCATCCCTTTTTTCATGGCTGCATAGTATTCCATGGTGTATATGTGCCACATTTTCTTTATCCATTCTATCATTGATGGGCATTTGGGTTCGTTCCAAGTCTTTGCTATTGTGCATAGTGCCATAACAAACATACGTGTGTATGAGTCTTTATAGTAGAACGATTTAGGATCCTTTGGGTATATACCCAGTAATGGGATTGTTTCATGTTCAATTGACATCACGTGACACCGAGAAAGATGATTCTTAGCTCCTACCCCACGTTGCATCTCCTGGGCAAGGGTCAAGTTATGACTGGGTTTAGTGAAGTTTGATCAGTTGGGGGTTGACTGGCCCATGGGGGGATCCCCAAAATGTCAGCATGTGGAAAACTCTATGGTTGCTCAACTGTCCCTTTGGCTGAGTCATTCCTAGCTCAAGCTAGACTCTGCCTTTCTCTATTTTGAATATAGCTCCCTTGTTTCCTGTCTTTGTGCTGTCAGTCTAGTGAGATTGATAAGATATTTGTCCCAGAATAGAATAAATTCTTTCCCTGATCTCCAACCACTGATTCACTGCACTGGACTGCTTGGACGATGAACTAAACTCTAA